CCAAAAAGTGTCGATGCGCTCATCGCCAACACACTTTCTCCTCTCTCTCTTTCTCCATTTCCTTTTCTCTATATCTCTCTCCATCACTCTCATCCTCATCCTCGTCATCACCATCATCCTCATCTTCATTCCTATTGCGCAGATTTCCAAACGAGTCTCTACAAAGCTATATCCAATTCAGTCTCAGCACACAAGCAAAGAAACTGCATCTTTCCATCGCCTTAAACCAACTCCTACTCGACAATTCGTCGTCTCTTTTCTTCGACTGTCGCTTTTGCACTTTTGACAGCATTCAAGCAAACTACCTTTCACGACAAGATCAAGTTGCATCTGGATCTTCTTCGAACCAAGTCTTGCGCAAAACCCTGCCTATCCTTCCGCTCGTAACCTTACTCGGGTTCTCTTCGACGACGACGACGACGACAACAACAACAAAGCGTTCTCTGTAAAACAGCCAACCGCGGTCTCACACTTTACTTTTAGCGCCCACACTCTTCGCGCTTTGCCATCAACACACTCCACAATCCTTGCTATCCCAATTCACCGCAAGGTATCACCCCAACTTGGCTTTCACACACTCCATCGAAAGCTCTCTCGCCTACACTGCCGACAAATATCTGTGCACATTAGGCTACCGAAACCATCTCTCCACCAAAGCGCCGGTCGTTTCAAGCTTCAAGACCAGCCTTGTAATATTGATACCAATCACCTAATCTGGCCGCAGTGCATTGTTCTCTGCCGCTTCGTACGTTGCTCTTGATTCGCACTTGCAACAATACTCGACCCATTCGAAACTTCGATCCTTATACAATCGGAATCCAACTCTGCACTCTGCTCTGACGACATTTGCAAGAGCTCCCCCATCTACACCTTCTCCCAAGCGTACCGATCCATCAACGCTTCTGCACCAGTCTTTCACTCGACAGGTCCCTTCTTCGACTAGAACGTCACTCGAGCTTCAAGAATCGGCTCCCATTCCTCTCTACACACACATCCCTTTCCACCTTTCCACAACACATAATGTCAGCGTCAGGACCAGCGCCAGGCCAATCCGAAGCCGCTTGGAAGCAGCAGATCACTTCCCAGATCGCCAAGGACGAGCGTCCTCAGACCGAGGATGTCCTCAATACCAAGGGTAACGAATTCGAGGACTACTTTCTGAAACGTGAACTGCTCATGGGCATCTTTGAGGCCGGTTTTGAACGTCCCTCCCCCATTCAAGAAGAGGCCATCCCCATCGCTCTCACTGGTCGTGACATCCTTGCACGTGCCAAGAACGGTACCGGAAAGACTGCTGCCTATGTCATCCCTTCGCTCGAAAAGCTCAACACCAAGAAGAACAAGATTCAGGCCGTCCTCCTCGTCCCTACTCGTGAGCTGGCGCTCCAAACAAGTCAGGTCGCCAAGACGCTCGGAAAGCATCTCGGTGTAGAGGTCATGGTCACCACCGGTGGTACTACACTTCGTGATGACATTCTCCGTCTCGGACAGACCGTCCATATGCTCGTCGGCACTCCTGGTCGTATCCTCGATCTCGCCGGCAAGGGCGTTGCCGATCTTAGCCAATGTACCACCTTTGTCATGGACGAGGCCGACAAGCTCCTCTCGCCCGAGTTCACTCCCGTCATGGAACAGCTCCTCAGCTTCCTCCCCAAAGAGAGGCAGGTCATGCTCTTCTCGGCCACCTTCCCGCTCATCGTCAAGGACTTTAAGGACCGCAACATGGTCAAGCCCTACGAGATCAACCTCATGGATGAGCTTACGCTCCGGGGTGTTACCCAGTACTACGCCTTTGTCGAGGAACGCCAAAAGGTGCACTGCCTCAACACGCTCTTCTCGAAGCTCCAGATCAACCAGTCCATCATCTTTTGTAACTCGACCAACCGTGTCGAGTTGCTAGCCAAGAAAATTACTGAGCTTGGATACAGCTGCTTCTACTCGCACGCCAAGATGCTTCAAGCGCATCGAAACAGGGTTTTCCACGACTTCCGCAACGGTGCTTGCCGTAACTTGGTCTGCTCGGATCTGCTCACACGAGGTATCGATATCCAGGCTGTAAACGTGGTCATCAACTTTGACTTCCCAAAGAACGCCGAGACCTATCTCCACCGTATCGGTCGATCTGGTCGTTTCGGTCACCTCGGTCTCGCTATCAACCTCATCACCTACGAGGACCGATTCAACCTCTATCGTATCGAGCAGGAGTTGGGTACCGAGATCCAGCCCATCCCGAGCAACATCGACAAGAGGTTGTACGTGGCACCTTCGCTCATTCAGGAGGCCGAGGGCAAGAACCAGAACGGCAACAGGCAAGAGGGTAGGCCGGTGATCCCGCCAGGCCAGCAGGCTATGCATGCCGCTGCCATCCCGCAGAACCAGAATTTCAGCAACACGGTGCCACACAGGCATCGCGGTGGAGGAGGAGGCGGCCAGCGCGGCGGTGGTGGACGTGGACCCCAGGGTCAGGGTCAGAGTCAGGGTCAGGGTGGTGTCCCCGCCCAGTAGGCACTCTTGCCTTGCCGGTCCCATGACCTGCATTCCAACGCAGTGAATGACGGGGCCTCATACCAAGGTTTTGTCTGATCTGCTTCGCCACAATCTATCCTGGTTCAATTCGCCACTCCTATCTCTGGAAGCATGTCGACGTGCCATTGACAAAAAGGATAGCGTTCAGCCCATCCCGCTTCGCATGTGACAGCTTCTGTGGCACACATCCTCCCTTTCACACTTGCCTCCCTTTCTCATGTCACCTTTGCCATTTCATCTCATCCGGACTGCAGGATCCATTTCTGTTGATTGGGCAGTTTCGACGCAGCTTGCAGCAACCTCTTTATCGACAGAGACGCTGTCCCGCAACACATTCCTTCATCCCTCACAACGTCCCGTCAACCCATCTCATGTATGATCCTCCTACGATTCCACATCATCTATGCCGCCCCCACACCACCCATTCTCTCATCTTTCAGCCATCATCATCATCCATCCCCTCATCGAATTTTTGGAAGCGATATGTGTGAATGTTTTTGCGACCTTTCTGGGTAGCTTGAGATCTATGAATTTGCTATTGCGGCGATGTGCATGGGTATTGACAGTGTGGAAGAAAACTGTTTATGTGGGCTGAATAGAGGTGAGAGTGTACGTTTATTGAGAGGGTCTTGTAGATGTTTCACGGTTGCTTTTTGGGTGATGCCTATTTGGATTAATGGCACGATGTATGAATGTGATTGAATGGTAGAGGGGAAAGACTTTGTGGTGGGTTGGAGTCGGGGGGGTTTTTTAGAAGAGAAAACGCTTATGCTTCCAAGGTGTAGGTATTTTTCTCGAGCTACAACATGACAAAAGTTGTGGTGGATGATTGGTCAATTATCTTGAACAAGTGAGGGGAAAGTATGGGTGAGAGGATAGAGGAATGTGTTTGTTTGCTTACTTCGATTTCGAGTTCGGATCGTAGCCAGTCGATGCGATCGGGGGAGATGAGAAGATGGGTCTCGTCTAGATCCATAATGATGAATCGATTACGTTCGTCTAGGGATAGAATGAGTTGTTTTACTGCTGCATCGCTGCATATCCCATCGTTCAAAAGGTAGGTAGAATGGAGAGCATGAAGAGAGATGACATGATGAAAAATCGTTTGGTAAAAGGGATGTTTTGATCCAGTATCAGTACATGCTTGTTGAAAAGTCGAAGATGTAAAAGGGATGGCTTACCATGTCAAGAGAAGTCCTTTGTAAGCTTTCATGGCTATAATCCCACCTAGCGATGGTTTGAAAGAAGGAAAGAGGCCCAATGCCCGCAATTTGTAGACAGCGATGAGAGCTGTAGACAGCAATGAGACGAACAATTGGATCAAATCAGAGGATGGTTGATGTCTTGAGATGATGATACCCGTGTTGGTGCTGAGTTGGCAAGAAGGAGTGGGATGGTAGCTATTTCGGTTGATGCGGGAAACCTCCACTCTTGGCTCCCCCTTTTTTTTTCGGAAAGTGTCAGGCTTAAATTGCTAACAGCATTTCAGTCAAAGTCGAACTAGGAGTTTGGCTCGCCCACTGTCGTCAATGACAAGTGGTGTAGGTTGCGGTTAGCTCAGTCCTTGGTAGTTTGAATCTTCTGGATGGTGATGATTCAGAGAGAGGTGGTGAAGGGCAAGAGTCGCAAGGCAACAACGACTGATGACAAGACTTTGATATGGTCTGTCAAGAAATGCAAATTTGAAAGAAAGAAATAAAGGCAGAGAAAAAGACTATTCTTTCTTTCCTTCATCCATTGGACTACTCCGATTTGCTGCTATTCTCAAGCCTCCATTGTCTCCATCCTACCTCGCTTTCTCGCCCTCTCGCTCTCTCGTTGAATGTCCGTATCTCTGTGCTTTCACGACGACGTCGAAACAAACAGAGGGTCTCCCTTCCTGGATTGTATACGGAAAGGGAAAAAAAGGGCCAAAAAAGCTTTTTTTTTTTTTTTTTTTATCACTGCATTCAAAAGGGTCATGGATCCGAGAACTTATGTACAAGAGAAAAGAAAGTGGAGTAATAGAGACAGCTTCGGGCAACACCTGTCGTGCCTTCCTGTTGTTGCCAGCATCAATCCCCGTGGGGTTTGGGACCGGTGCGCAGGGAGGGTTGGCGAGTGTTCGACTAAAGGCATTTCAGCAAGAGAAGATCTTCGCCCTTGCAGCTTCGGTCCTAAGGTTGGTTGTGCTTCTTTCCAATCGAACTTGTTGATTCTTTCGCAGTAGCAGCCAGCACGGGGCGGCGTATGCCAACGGACAGGACAAGGTTGATCCACATCATTGTCGCCACCTCCAGAGGCCAGAGTGACGTTTTTGCCCCGACAAGCAGGCATCCCGACTTTCCAGAGGCGATAGCTCGACAGTGACGTGATCAATCCTTGCCCAAAAAAGGTTGAGGGGTAGCCCTCATCGTCGTCAATCGTATGGCGGGCTCCTTGACGTCGTTGGCAAAAAGTTGACGTCGTCACCATCAACTTAAAGCAAAAAGAAACGACGCCTGTGAGATTCGAACTCACGCCCTCAGAGAGGATATCCTAACACCAGCTCACGCTTGGTTGCTTACCAAAGTAGCAGGGATACGTGTTAACCACTCCACCAAAGCGTCTTATCACGTGGCTAAACATGAGTTTTTAGGAGATCATATACCTGAGAGGTCTTTCTTGGTTGTCGCCCATAGATCAAAATAGTGGATCGGAGCCTGAAATCTTGTGGTAGAAGATAATAAAGCATCAACACACTTACTACTGTACAATAGCAACATGCTTAAGCCCTCCTTTATGGGCCTAAACATGCACTGTACAATTCGCTTGAGCGCTGTTCACTCTGTAAGCCTGGATCCAACAGCATGACTCCAAGAGGGATTTGCTAGAAGTGCTGCTTGAAGGATGCAAGACAAGTCTGACCGTTGGCTGGGCTGGGCTGGTCTGTGTCGCTCGGAATAGCAGCAAAAAAAATGTGTGACGGGCTTGTGCGTGTGTGTGTGTGTGGAGGTGCATTTGGCTGAGAAACGCGTACAGCACAAACTGCCCCTGTCACAGCAATTGTCGGGACTATGCTCTCTCGACATTCGTTTTGCTTTCACCTCTACATCATCCATCAACCTTGATCGCTTTCCATCCTCCACCATCATTGTCAAGTTCAAGAACGTAGCTCAGCGTCCACCACATTCACATGGCTACAATCTGATTCTCTGGTGCTCTAGCGCCAATCTCTCAACCTCTTCAGCTGTACCACCACCACCCGCAGTGGCTGCGACTCTGCTCTTCTCAAAATGGCATCCCAGATCCCACTCGACCTCTACTCCTATACCCGCGCTGCTACTGCTTCTGCAGCAGCAGCAGCCGTCACCACCGCCGGCACAGTTGTCAACGCTGGCATGAACTGGGAATACGGTTCTCCCGACGGCAACAACGGCTCCGATGACAATCCAGCCATCCCACTCCCCAACCAGCGTGCTTTCGAAGGTCCCTGGTTCTCCCAGCAAGTCTCGCTCTCCATGTTTATCGGTCTCGCCTCGTTCTTCATCTTTGTTGTTGTCCGTCGCCGCAATGCTGCCCTCTTTGCGCCCCGCACCAAGCTCAAAGGATTCTCTCCGCTCGACGACGGTCACGATGTGGGTTACTTTGGATGGATCATGCCCACGCTCAAGACCGAGGAGATGCGTATCCTTCAGACAGTCGGTCTGGATGCTGCCATACTGCTCAGCTTTCTCAAGATGGGCTTCTGGCTCTTTTTCAGTCTCAGCTGTTGGAGTATTCTGGTGCTCATGCCGGTCAACTACTGGCAAAACGGCGTGCTGGATGGTGTAAGTCCAGCCGAGGACAGGGGTAATGCCACCGATCCTTCCGGCGGACGCGATACCGTCACTGGTATATGGACTCAGCTCATCTTTGGCACTCTCAATAAGAAGCACGACAGCCCCCATCAGCCTTTGCCTCAACTACCCATCCCCACCAAACCGCCCCAGGCACAGCTGTACCACGCAACTCATCTTCTCTCGACCTACCTCTTCACGCTGCTCGCTATGCGCGCCATCTGGATCAATTACCAACGCTTTGTTCGCTCTCGTCAGCTCTACATTCTCGAGATCCTCGAGTCGATCCCTGCCCGTACTGTCGAGATTCGAGACCTTCCTGCACATCTTCGAGATGAAAAGGCACTGGCAGAGTATTTTGAAAACATGGACATGCCCGTCGAGTCGACCGCTGTCGTGCGCAACACAGAAGGCCTATCGCGTCTCCTCAACCAACGATCGAAAGCTCTTCAACAGCTGGAAAAGACCTGGGTCAAGTGGCTCGGCAACCCCACGGACGCCGAGGGCTACGATCCTGAAAAGATTATGCTCCTCGCTGCAGGTGCAAATCATCAAGATCTTCCCAGCAGCGATATGACAGATGATCTTGTACCGGTCAGTGTCGATGACGATAGCGAGCAGCGTCGTTCGGGTGACGATCTCGAACGTAGCCGTCTGCTCGGTGGTCGGAACGCGTCCAGTACAGTCTTTACCGGCGCAGACACGATTCGCACACATCGTCCTCGCCCTACCGTGCGTAAGCAGTGGTGGAATCCGCTCAGCGAAAAGATCGATGCAATCGACGAGCTTACCCGTCAATTCAACGCTGTGGATCGCGCTGTCCGACGTCGCCGTAGGAGCGGCCGATTCCCTGGTGGCAATGTTGGTTTTGTCACCTTCGAAAGCGCCGCCAGCGCCCAGATCGCCTCTCAGACCGTCCACTACCCCATCCCAGCCTACTGTGCAACATCGATGGCCCAAGAGCCCCGTGATATCATCTGGAGCAACATTGATCTCTCCAACAACGACCGCCGCGTTCGCCAAGTCCTCGTATCGATCTTTATCGTCGCCATTCTCATCTTCTACATCCCTCCCCTCGTCTTCTTGGCCAGTTTCGTCAGCCCAGGAGCGATCAAAAAGTACGCACCGTGGCTCGACCGCTTGCTAGACACGGATGAGAGGCTGCGCGCGCTAGTGCAGAATAACTTGCCCTCGCTCGTAGTCATCGGATTCAACGCGTTGCTTCCATTGGTGCTCGAGTACAGCTCGTACCTCCAGGGCTTGAAAGCGAGGAGCTTGGTCGAGTACAGCTTGCTGAAAAAGTACTACCTTTTCCTCATGGTTTCAGTCGTATTCATCTTTTTGATCGCGACGACGGCATGGGGAGTGCTGCAGGAGTTGGCAGAAAACCCAATGCGAGTGATTGACAAGTTTGCCGCCTCTTTGCCCAAAGCGCGGTTCTTCTCGCTCTCCTACGTTATCTTGCAAGGCATAGCGTTGCAGCCCCTGCAGTTGTTGCAACTGCCGACGCTGCTCATCCGTGCTTTCTATCGTGTATTCTTCACAAGAACACCAAGAGAGTTTGCCGAACTCAATGCACCCCCAACACTCGCAATGGGCAACGTCTACCCTCAAGCGCTGCTCATTTTCACCCTCTGCATCCTCTACTCGATTGTCTCGCCGCTCATTGTCCTCTTTGGCACAATCTACTTTGGCATCGCCTACGTCGTCAACAAGTACAAATTGCTCTATGTCTTTTACAAACCGTACGAGAGCCAAGGTCAAGCATGGCCCATCTCTGCCTCAAGATGCATTTGGGCTCTGATCCTCTTCCACATTTTCCAATTTTCGCTTTTTAGCGTTCGAAAGGAACTGTGGATGAGCACCGGGTTGCTACCGCTGGTAATGTTCACCCTCTGGTTTAACGGGCATCTGGAGAAGACTTTCGGACCACTGACGGAACATGTTAATCTCAGCTCGGTGGTGGAGGTGCTGAAGGAGAGGGAGGTGGATCCGGCGGTGGCGGAGCTGGCGCAGAATGGCCCTCCTGCCATGGCGAGAGCCGAGGTGGGAGAGGGAATGGTGTCCACCGATCCATCTTCAGTCTCTGCGGTGCGGTCGGGTAGTATGACGCCAAGCGGAAGCAGGTCCAAGCAATTGCTATCCCTGGATCCGAGCCACAAGATCGATCCCGAGTTCACAAAACTGGCCATGAAGCGATACAGTCACGACGAAGAGGACGAGACCCTTTTTGTCGCGCAGCGCGATACAAAGACCGATTACCGAGAGCCCCCAGGAGCAGGATACTACCCTGGTGTGCTGAACACGGGCAGACGACGTTACGGTCATCCAGCTATTACAGGTATTCTGCCCGAGCTATGGCTGCCCATCCCAAGCCAACGATTGGAAGAAGGAGGAGAGGACGTGACTGCCCCCGATGATTTGGAGGCGGGCGCCACTGGTATGGCCAGTGCAACCACCTCGGCATTGGGCGCTCCTAGAGGCGATATCTCCGGCAGCGCCGGAGACCTCAGTAGCAGCAGTACTACCGCCCAAGCCGCAGCACGAATCAGAGCTAGGGCACTGAGCAAAGCCGAACCGCTCATCCTGTCTCTTCGCAAGCGCAAATCTTCTCTCATGTCGGGTCGTCCACACTCGGCCTCGCCTACCCGTGTTCGGTCCACAAGCACGCTACCTTTGGCTGGGGATGGTACGAGCACCGACCACCCTCATCAGAATAACGATTCCACGCTGGGCCTCGGAGGAGCAGGAGAGGAGGATACTAGCTTTGGCGTATGGAGCGATGGCGTTTCAGGTCCTCAGGGAAGCAATTCTTCAGCGGCGATGGGTGAAGCTTTGAGTGGAGGTTATGCTGTTGCTCCAGCCAGAGCGCATATTCGCTCCGCTAAAATTGCACAGTTGGGGGATGGAGATTGGGATCAAACAGAGGAGAATAATGAAGATGAGGAAGGAGTTTATATTCATCGTGTTGCAAAGGTGAGGAAAGGTCGGATGGGTGTTCCTAGTACTAGTGGGCCAGGGTATCATGATTGAAGTTTGGAATATGTAGGTGTGTTTATTTGTTTTTCTTGTTGAATGTCGTTAACTAATCAGTTTGACGTGTTTTATGTACTTTGCGGATGTATGGGTTCTTTTGGGGAGTTTTGGTGATTCATACTGTATGTGTCTGGTGGTAGAGGAGTTTATGCGATTGCAAATAATAAGTTATGTTTTCACCCTGTATGTTGAGATATTGTCCAACTTGAGTCATGTTGGAGTGGTGAGCTGAGCCATATAGTACTGTACAGTATGTAAGCGATTTGTGCAAATTAGTGGGATTGAGGAGGCAAGTTAGATACGGTTTGGTGTTTGTTTTTTGATCTGTTTCATCAGAGTGATTTTTGCAGTTTAGTCGGTGAAAAAGAGAGTTTGCTTGTCAATTGTTACTTGTATACAGTGTGTGTTGTGCAGCTGATGCTTGAGTGTGTTAGTTTGTTGTATGTGTTTTCTCTGGCCCGGGTTCTGGGTAAGGGTTGTTTGTGCATGCCTATCGTCAGCTGTGTGGAATTAGGTACAAGAAAGGTAAATAGCACAAACATTGATGGCAAAATATGCAGGTTTGGCATCATATTTGGTTGCAATGTAGATACCGTGGTGGATCAATGGTGGTGAGTATCATGTGCTTGTAATGTAGCTACCGTGCTAGATCAATGGTGGTGAGTATCATGTGCTTGTAATGTAGCTACCGTGCTAGATCAATGGTGGTGAGTATCATGTGCTTGTAATGTAGCTACCGTGCTAGATCAATGGTG